CCAGGATGGTCTCGATCTCTTGACCTCGTGATCCACCCACCTCGGCCTCCCAAAGTGCTGGGATTACAGGCTTGAGCCACCGCGCCCGGCCGGTGTATGTATTTTTAAAATAATAGCTGTTGTGATAGAATATTGTTTGCTAGGAAAAAAAAAAGTAAAATAATAGCTGTTGCCAGATTGGTTTCCAAAAAGACTGTAACACTTTATATTTCAGTAGCAGCACATGAAAATACCCCTCGCCCCCCATCCCTGCAGCAATAGGTGTTATAGTGTATTCAGTAGGCATTATAATAAAAACCGTGAAATAAAATCAAAAGAAACTACTTCAACATATCAAGACTACCCCAAATGACAAGGAACTGTGATACTAACTGGCAAAATGTGAAAATTATTTTATTGAAAATCAGCAACTACACATGAGTTTTTAGTTAAATAAATCTCTCAAGTTTATTTCACTCTTAACTTTAAAATTAACACATAATTGACCAGGCATGATGGCTCACACCTATCATCCCAGCACTTTGGGCAGCCAAGGTGGGTGGATCACCTGAAGTCAGGATTTCGAGACTAGTCTGGCCAACGTGATGAAACTCCATCTCTATTAAAATACAAAATTAGCCGGGCATGGTGGCGCATCCAGTAATTACAGCTACTTGGGAGGCTGAAGCAAGAGAATCGCTTGGACCTGGGAGGTGGAAGTTGCAGTGAGCTGAGATCATGCCATTGCACTCCAGCCTGGGCGACAAGAGCAAAACTCCATCTCAAAAAAAAATTAACATATAATACATATATAAAATGTACACAAATCATAAGTGCACACATCAAAGATCAATGAATTATTGCAAAGTAAACACATTTGTATAACCACTACACAGGTCAAGAAAGCTATTACCAGCATTTCGGAAGCCTACCTCATGCCCCCTTCGCCTTCCTATAGAGAACCAGTCCTGACTTAATACCACTGAATAGGCCTAGCGAGGTGACTCACGCCTGTAATCCTAGCACTTTGGGAGGCCGAGGTGGGTGGATCACCTGAGGTCAGGAGTTCAAGACCATCCTGGCCATCATTGTGAAACCCCATCTTAAAAAAAAAAAAAAAAAATACCACCGAATAGTTTTGGCTAGTTTGGAAATATATATACAAGTGGCATCATGCAATGTATATTCTTGTGTGTGTTTGGTTTATTTCTTTCAACATTATCTTTGTGAAGTTTCTTCATGTTTCTGATAGCAGTAGTTCACTCACTCTCATTGCTGTACAATAGTTCATTGCTTGAATAATAAACCACAATTCGGCTGGGCGTGGTGGCCCATACCTGTAATCCCAGCCCTTTGGGAGGCAGAGGCAGGTGGATCACCTGAGGTCAGGAGTTCGAGACCAGCCTGACCAACATGGAGAAACCCTGTCTGTACTAAAAATACAAAATTAGCCAGGCATGGTGGCGCATGCCTGTAATTCCAGCTACTCAGGAGACTGAGGCAGAAGAATCGCTTGAACGCGGGAGGCGGAAGTTGTGGTAAGCTGAGATGGCACCACTGCATTCCAGCCTGGGCAACAAGAGAGAAACTCCGACTTAAAAAAAAAAAAAAAAGAGGCTGGGCTCAGTGGCTCACGCCTATAATCCCAACACTTTGGGAGGCCAAGGTGGGTGGATCACCTGAGGTCAAGAGTTTGAGACCGGCTTGACCAACATGGAGAAACCCCTTCTCTACTAAAAATACAAAATTAGCTGGGCATGATGGCTCATGCCTGTAATCCCAGCTACTCAGGATGCTGAGGCAGGAGAAATTCGCCTGAACCCACGAGGTTCAAGATGGCACCATTGCACTCCAGCCTAGGCAACAAGAACAAAACTTCATCTCCCCAAAAAAAAAAAATTTAGCCAGGTGTTGTGGTAAAGCCTGTAGTCTTAACTACTTGAGAGGCTGTGGCAAGAGATCACTTGAGCCCAGGAATTTGAGGCTGCCATGAGCTATGATCACACCTCTGCATTCCAGCCTGGGCACAGAGCAAGATCTCATCTTAATAAAACAAAACAAAACAAAACAATATAAATATTTGTGGTCTACTATATTCTAGGTACTGAGTGGGGTTAGAACAGTTGAAAAAAAAATAGACCATACCCAGACTGTCATGAAATTTACATTCTACTTGATGAGATAGATATAAATAAAAATTCAGATCATTTTATGAGGAAAGTGAAATGGAGCAACACTAAATGAGGAGGAAGGCACATAACTTCAGAAGGCACTAACCATGTGAAGACTGGGAGTATACCATTCCAGGCAAGGGGAACAGCAAGCACAGAGGCCTTGAGGAAGGAATGGGCTTCAAGAAACAAGGAGAGCAGTGTACCTAGAGCAAAATGTGAACAAAGGCAAGTAGAGGAAAGGTAGACAGAAACTAGATTCTGTAAGGTCTTAAAATTCTTTTATTTACTTACTTATTTTTTTTAGAGATGGGGTCTCCCTGTGTCGCCTGGGGTAAGGTACAGTGGCTGTTCACAGGAGCAGTGATAGCATACTGTGGCCTGGAACACTGGGGCTCAAACAGTCCTCACCCTCAGCTTCCCAGTAGCTGAGACTACAGACTCATGCAACATGCCTGGCAAGGCCTGTTATTCCAAATGCAGTGGCGAGATGGACAAGAGATGTACCATCCACATCTTCCTTTAAGGCAGGACTTGATGCCCAGATGTGAAGCATGTAGTCAGCAAACAGCTCTTTCAGGATCTGCGTCAAACACAGAGAGCCTCACTGCTTAAGGATATACCCTTCTTGGAGCAGACCACATCTGGAGACTAAGTGATCAGGGTTATAAAGCCCCAGTCATTTTAATCGAACAATTCTAATGGACAATTCTTGTTTCAGAGCTCCCTGCTGGGTGGGCCAAAGCTATTTTGGGTCTGCATCACTTATTTCCTCCTCTGTCTAATTCAGATTTCTCTTTCTTCTTTCACAGATGTTAAACCTTAATAACATCTTGAATCCAAAACTCAATCTCTGCATCTGTGAAAACTCAACCTGTGACAAATGGGAAGCCATTGAAGGATTTTTGAGCAAAGAATTCAAGTGGTCCGATTTAGGTTTTAGATCACTCTACCTACTGTATAAAGGATGGACTGTGGGAAGTAAAAGTGAGAACAAGACCAGTAGCAGTGGCCCAGGGGAGAGATGGTGGTGATTTGATCTAGGGAGGAGAAAGGGGGAAGTGGATGGATTTGGGATATAATTTGGTTGTAGAAGTGATAACTGGTTTGCTGGGCATGGTGGCTCATGCCTGTAATCCCAGCACTTTGGGAGGCCAAGGTGGGTGGATCACAAGGTCAGGAGCTTAAGACCAGGCTGGCCAACATGGTAAAACCCCGTCTCTATTAAAAATACAAAAATTAGCTGGGCATGGTGGCTCGAGCCTGTAGTCCCAGCTACTCAGGAGGCTGAGGGGGGAGAATCACTTGAGGTTGCAGTGAGCTGAGATGGCACTGCTGCACTCCAGCCTGGGTAACAGAGCAAGACTCCATCTCAAAAAAAAAAGGAAAGATAACTTGTTCATCTCAAGCATTTTGATCAATTACCTTGCAGAAAACAAATTTAGGGTGTTGAAGGAAACCAAAATATTTCTCTCTAAAATACTAGGGATTTTAGTTAAAATTAAAAGGTTAAAACACGTGGGCACACTGCCCTTCCTAACTCTGCCTTCATCAACTCAGAAACAGCTCAGAGACAGCGGTGCTAGCGGATCTTTACTCTTCCCATTAATTTACCTTCCCACATTTTCCTGCCTTTTGGAAGCCTAACATACTCTTCTTTGTTTCATCACCATGTAAGATTCGTGGCTCTGGCTGAGTGCAGTGGCTCACGCCTATAATCCTAGCACTTTGGGAGGCTGAGGCAGGTGGATTGCTTGAAGCCAGGAGTTCGAAACCAGCCTGGCCAACATGGCGTCACCCTGTATCTACTAAAAATACAAAAATTATCTGGGCATGGTGGTACATGCTTATAATCCCAACTACTCAGGAGGCTGAGGCACGAGAATCTCCTGAACCCAGGTGGTAGAGGTTGCATGAGCCGAGAGCATGCCACTGCACTCAAGCCTGGGTGACAGATCAAGACTCTGTCTCAAAAAAAAAAAAAAAAAATTCATGGCTCTTTGTTTAAAATAATATTCAAACAAGGTCCCTAAGCCACTGCCTGGAGAGAGAAATACTTTTGAACTGAGACCTCTCCCATTTGGGTACAGCATGTTAATAAACTTGTTTTTCTTTTGTTAATCTGACTATTGTTTTCAAGTGTCTCAACTAAGAACCTAAAATGGGTAAAAAAAGAAATGATGTTTGATGTATTCTCCCCAACAGTGTGTTTTCATTTCTTTCATCTACTGTCCAGTAATCATTTTAAAAAAGAAAAGAGCATTAGTTACTGCCTGTGTGATGTGTTCCCTGCTTACCTGCACTCTCCCTCCTGTTTCCTGTTCCAGCCACCTCAGCTTTTTCACTGTTCCTCCAGCATGGCAAGTTTATTCCTGCCACATGACTCTTTCACATGGTGTTTTCAGATTTTCTCTGTGGCACTCTGCACACATTGCTCACCTAAATTCTATTCGTCCCTCAGGTAGCAGTTTAAATACTGTGTCCTCACAGGATTTCTCTAGCACTGCTTCCTCTCCCAGTGAAGCTAGTTCCTGTAATTATGGGCTCACATAAATCCCTAGGTTTCCTTCCTTCCTTCCTTCCTCCCTTCCTCCCCTCCCTCCCTCCCTCCCTCCTTCCCTCCCTTCTTCCTTCCTTTCTTTTTTTTGAGATGGAGTTTCAGAGTTTTGCTTTTGTTGCCCAGGCTGGAGTGCAATGGCACGATCTTGGCTCACTGCAAGCTCCGCCTCCCAGGTTCAAGCGATCCTCCTGCCTCAGCCTCCAGAGTAGCTGGGATTACAGGCATATGCCACCACACCCGGCTAATTTTGTATTTTTAGTAGAGACAGCATTTCTCCATGTTGGTCAGGTTGGTCTCAAACTCCCGACCTCAGGTGGTCCACCCGCCTCAGGCTCCAAAAGTGCTGGGATCACAGGCATGGGCCACCACACCTGGCCAAAAAGTTATGTTTATAGGACACTAGCTCAGTTCATTATAGTTCATCCTGTGGAATGTTATGCAATATCTGAAAACAATGTGATAGATATATAACAATGCGCATAATACTGTAACTCTTGGATAAAAATATAATTTTATACAAATTTGTGTTTTTGTACAAATGGTATCTTTGTATTTTTGTACAATTGGTATTGTATTATGGTAGAGTATGAATGTAAATTTTCTGGACGGATGAACAAGACACTGTCAATGGTGGTTGCTTCTAAACTCTGGAGTAAGGGATTGGCTGATAGAAAAAATAATTTACTTTTCTATTTACACTTTTTCCTGGATCGATTGATTGATTTGTTTACTATGTGAATATACTGTGTTTAACTTTTTAAACACTTCTGGGATCGCCTTGAAGTGAAAAAAAAAATTAATACTAACATTAAAACAAAAGTTATGTTTGTGCACAATTGATTTTCTGAAATAAAGCTCTTAAGTATATGTCTACACATGGAGCATGAGTTTATTCATTATGAAATTAATATCCAGCTCTCTGGTCTCGGCCACAGAAGTGAGATGATGAAGGCAACGTCATCGTTTGGAAAGCATCGCAGTAAGACGCACATGTTGTGCCACCGCTATGGCTCGAAGGCCTACCACCTTCAAAAGTCGACCTGTGGCAAATGTGGCTACCCTGCCAAGCACAAGAGAAAGTATAACTGGAGTGCCAAGGCTAAAAGACGAAATACCACCAGGACTGGTCGAATGAGGCACCTAAAAATTGTATACCGCAGATTCAGGCATGGATCCTGTGAAGGAACTACACCTAAACCCAAGAGGGCAGCTGTTACTGCATCCAGTTCATCTTAAGAATTTCAATGATTAGTAATGCAATAAATGTTCTGGTTTTAAAAAGTACAAATAAAATAATTAATATCCAGAAGAAGTTTATTATGTTTGAAAAAGATTTGAAAGTTAGATTTTTATTTCATTCTATATAAATTCCCAAGATGGAATAATTTTGGGGAACAACCAAATATAAATTAAACATTACGCCAAGCACGGTGGCTTATGCCTATAATCCCAGTGCTTTGATAGGCTGAGGCGTGCTGATTACTTGAAGTCAGGAGTTCGAGACCAGTCCGACCAACATGGAGAAACCCCGTCTCTACTAAAAATAAAAAATTAGCTGGGCATTACCAAGGCTTTTAGAATGCTTTTTCTCATTTGCTGTGGACACGACCATAAAAAAATTTCCCGGTAGGTTTGCTATCTGCTACCTTGCTAGCAATCAGCCTATTCGGAATATTTGATTAACTGTAATAGAAATGCAATACAAATATAATGTGAGCCCCATGTGAATATTCTTTTTTTTCTAATAGCTGTTTCATCGGTAATCAATGAGATTTTAAAATTGTCTTTTGGGCAGTGTAGCCTAGATCTCTTGAATCATGTAAATGTGCTTTGCCCTTGTCTTGTAACCCCTGTGAATTATAACCCTTGTGGATTGCAGTCTGTGTGTAGCCGTTAACTCAGGCTGGTTCTAGGACTCATTCATGTTCACTCACTGTACAATCATCTCTGGAAATGTAAAATTTACTTTTATATTATTGTTATGTAGGGCTAACAGGACAAGTAGATTAAAATAAGCATCAGTTTCATTAAAAAGGGCTAACCTGAAGATAAATCTTTTCACTCCAACTCTTACTTTTTTTACTTTTTTTTTTTAAACCTTTCTGCAAGTCTGACACTCTCTTTAGATGATCTAAAGTGACTTTGATGGACAGTGGAAAAAATCACAACATGGAATCCCTTGAATAAAAATTTATTGACTTAAAAAAAAAAAAGCTGGGTGTGGTGGTTCACGCCTATAATCCTAGCACTTTGGGAGGCCTAGGTGGGTGCATCACCTGAGGTCAGGAGTTCAAGACCAGCCTGGCCATCATGGTGAAACCCCATCTTTTAAAATTAAAAAAAAAAAATTTTATTTACTTAAAAATAAAATTGGCACAGTAGCTGCGCATCCCGGGGCTACAGACCTCCTCACGTTTGCAGCGTAGCCCGAGTCCGTCAGCACCCGAGGACCTCAGCAACCACGTCAAAGCCCCATAGTGAAGCAGGGACTGCCTTCATTCAGACCCAGCAGCTACATGCAGCCACGGCTGACGCATTCCTGGAGCATATGTGCCGCCTGGACGTTGACTCACCACCCATCACAGCCTGGAACACTGGCATCATCTGTACCATTGGCCCAGCTTCCCGATCGGTGGAGACGTTGAAGGAGATGATTAAGTCTGGAATGAACGTGGCTCGTCTGAGCTTCTTTCATGGAACTCATGAGTACCACGCGGAGACCATCAAGAATGTGTGCGCAGCCACGGAAAGCTTTGCTTCTGACCCCATCCTCTACTGGCCCGTTGCTGTGGCTCTGGACACTAAAGGACCCGAGATCCGAACTGGCCTCATGAAGGGCAGCGGCACCGCAGAGGTAGAGCTGAAGAAGGGAGCCACTCTCAAAATCATGCTGGATAACACCTACATGGAAAAGTGTGATGAGAACATCCTATGGCTGGACTACAAGAACATCTGCAAGGTGGTGGAAGTGGGCAGCAAGATCTACGTGGATGATGGGTTTATTTCTTTCCAGGTGAAGCAGAAAGGTGCTGACTTCCCAGTGACAGAGGTGGAAAATGATGGCTCCTTGGGCAGCAAGAAGGGTGTGAACCTTCCTGGGGCTGCTGTGACTTGCCTGCTGTGTCAGAGAAGGACATCCAGGACCTGAAGTTTGGGGTTGAGCAGGATGTCGATATGGTGTTTGCGTCATTCATCCACAAGTCAGCTGATGTTCATGAAGTTAGGAAGGTCCTGGGAGAGAAGGGGAAGAACATCAAGATAATCAGCAAAATCGAGAATCATGAGGGGGTTCAGAGGTTTGATGAAATCCTGGCGGCCAGTGATGGGATCATGGTGGCTCGTGGTGATCGAGGCATTGAAATTCCTGCAGAAGTCTTCCTTGCTCAGAAGATGATGACTGGGCAGTGCAACCGAGCTGGGAAGCCTGTCATCTGTGCCACTCAGATGCTGGAGAGCATGATCAAGAGGCCCTGCCCCACCCAGGCTGAGGGCAGTGATGTGGCCACTGCAGTCCTGGATGGAGCTGGCTGTATCACGCTGTCTGGAGACAGCCAAAGGGGACTATCCTCTGGAGGCCATGCACATGCAGCACCTGATTGCCAGTGAGGCAGAGGCCGCCATCTACCACTTGCAATTATTTGAGGAACTCCACTGCCTGGCGCCCATTACCAGCGACCCCACAGAAGCCACTGCCGTGGGTGCCATGGAGGCCTCCTTCAAGTGCTGCAGTGGGGCCATAATCGTCCTCACCAAGTGTGGCAGGTATGCTCACCAGTTGGCCAGATACCACCCACGTGCCCCCATCATTGCTGTGACATGGAATCCCCAGACAGCTCGTCAGGCCCACCTGTACCGTGGCATCTTCCCTGGGCTGTGTAAGGACCCCATCCAGGAGGCCTGGGCTGAGGACGTGGACCTCCGGGTGAACTTGGCCATGAATGTTGCCAAGGCCCGAGGCTGCTTCAAGAAGGGAGATGTGGTCATTGTGCTGACTGGGTGGCGCCCTGGCTCCGGCTTCACCAACACCATGAGTGCTGTTGCTGTGCCGTGATGGACCCCAGAGCCCCTCCTCCAGCCCCTGCCCCACCCCATTCCCCTAATCCATCCATTAGGCCAGCAATGCTTGTAGAGCTCACTCTGGGCTGTAATGTGGCACTAGTGGGCTGGGACACCAGAGAAGATAAACGCCTCGCTGAAACATGGCTGTGTTTACAGCCTGCTCTGTGGGACCGCCCAGAGCCTGGCTGCCCATCATGTGGCTCCACCCAGTCAAGGGAAGAAGGAGGAATGCCGGACTGGAGGCCCCAGGAGCCAGATGGCAAGAGGGTGACAGCTTCCTTTCCTGTGTGTGCTCTGTTCAGTTCCTTTAGAAAATGGATGCCCAGAGGACTCCCAACCCTGGTCTAGGGGCAGGAAACAGCCAGTGAGGGCTAGGGGCCTTAGCACACAGGGCAGTTCCATTTAAGCCGACTCTGGCCCTGGCCCTTACGTGCTTCCCCAACCCCCTGGGCCTCCCCAGTTTGCACCTGTCCCTGCCCTCCACTCAGCTGTCCTACACCAAATACTCCACCTTCCATTTTCCCCCCACTACTGCAACACCTCCAGGCCTGTTGCTATAGAGCCTACCTGTATATCAATAAACAACAGCTGAAGCACCAAAAAAAAAAAAAAAAAAAATTAGCCGGGCATGGTGGTGGGCACCTGTAGTCCCAGCTACTCCGGAGGCTGAGGCAGGAGAATCACTTGAACCCAGGAAGTCGAGGTTGCAGTTAGCCAAGATCACACCAGTGCACTCCAGTCTCGGCAACAGAGCAAGACTCTGTCTCAAAAAAATAAATAAATAAACATTACTTGCTCACAGTTTTATTTTTTTCTTTGTCTTTCCTTTTTGCAGTGAGGTCTTGCTATGTCGCTCAGGCTGGCTCAAACTCCTGGGCTCAAGCAATCCTCTTACCTCAGCCTCGAAAGGGCTGGGATTACAGGTGAGCACCACTCCACCTGGCCCAAATAATTTAAAAAGAAAATTATACAAAATTCCATCACAATTTTAAAGCAAAATATGACCTTTGATTTAGAATATGATTATATTTTAATTGTATGCATGATACAAATTATATCCAAAGATAACAATACCTAGAACACAAGAGACTCTTAAAATGGGCCTGAGCAGCATAACTCTCAACTACATAAAAAATAAATTTGTGGGCCGGGCACAGTGGCTCACACCTGTAATCCCAGCGCTTAGAGAGGCTGAGGCAGACAGATCACGAGGTCAGGAGATCAAGATCATCCTGGCTAACACAGTGAAACTCTGTCTCTACTAAAAATACAAAAAATTAGCCAGGCGTACCAGCTACTTGGGAGGCTGAGGCAGGAGAATCGCTTGAACCTAGGAGGCGGAGGTTGCTGTGAGCCGAGACCACACCATTTCACTCTAGGTGACAGAGTGAGAGAGACTCAGTCTCAATAAATAAATAAATAAATAAATAAATAAATAAATAAATAAATTTGTATCTCATTCAGCCTATGGCATTTGAAAAAAATATCGCTTAATGTGAATAAGGAATGACAAGCTAGTCAGAAGAGGAAATAGTTGAAAGGGATTAACTACTCCTTTCTGATTAGGCAAAGCCTGTGCCTTGCATTTCCCTGCCTCTGTCTTTCTGCTGTGACTATTTCTCTCTCTCTTTACATTGACTTTGGAACCCTTGCCATCCTTCAAGAAGGGCAAGAGGCCATTGCTTTTAGAAAGCAGTATCATGATTGCTGGTGCACTATATAAGGTCTATTTATCTTTCTTTCACTAAGAAAGATAATTTTTTAAAAGGTGGATTTTATAATTCACATACCATAAAATCCACCTCAGATTTTATCCACATCTGAGGTGGATTTTATGGTATGTGAATTATATCTCAATGGAAAAAAAGAGAAAGACAATTTTCATGCTGGAAGACGAAGAACAAAGATAGGTAAGAATTTTTTTTTTTTTTTTTTTTTTTATGAGACGGAGTTTTGCTCTTGTTACCCAGGCTGGAGTGCAATGGCGCAACCTCGGCTCACCGCAACCTCCGCCTCCTGG